GTATATATATATATATATTTTTTTTTTCTTTTTGAGATGGAGTCTTGCTTCTGTCGCGCCATGGGCTGGAGTGCGAGTGGTCTGTGATCTGGCTCACTGCAAGCTCCGCTCCCGGTGTGTTCACGGCCATTCTCCGGCCTCAGTCCTCCCGAGTTAGCTGGGAGCTACAGGCGCCCTGCCACCACCGCCGGCTTAGATTTTTTTGTATTTGTTATGTAAAGAGGGGGTTGTCACTGTAATTAGCCAGGATGGTCTGATCTCCTGACCTCCGTGCATCTGCCCGCCTCGGCCCGCAAGTGCTGGGATTACCAGGGCGTGAGCCACCGTGCCGGCGAGACTTTCTATACTTATGAGCGAATCATTGTTGTCACATTGCCCCAAAGACAGTGATCATTTCTTCCCTTCCCCTATCTGTATCTCTTTTCCCTCCTCCTTCCCTCCTCATCTCCATTAGTTACACTTGGAAGTATAGTCTGGTTGAGTAGAGTGGTAAGAGGGACATCTTTGCCCATTTCCTCAGTTACCAGGGAAGCATCTAGTTTCCTCACTATTAAATATGATATTAGCGGGCAGGGTTTCCTATAAACACTGCTTCTCAAAAGGAGGAAGGGTCTATCTCCAGTTTTTCTTATTCATAAATGCATGGTTGGATTTGTGGCCCATAACTTTTTTACAGCATTTGGGAGTATGTGTGTTCCCAAGCTTGCCCACTGTTAATTAAACCCGTGTGATTGTCAGAGGAAGAGTTGTAAGTGATATCTGGATGTAAAATTTGAGTTTTAAGAGTAGATATGCGATGGGGTATCAACGCTAATGGTGGTGTTCTCGTACTTATTGTGCTTTGTGGCTCCGTCTTTTCACGCCTCTGCTTCCGTCTCCATGTCACGCACGTGTTCCCCAGCCTAGAAGCGGATTCTGGTATCGAGCCTCTGCAAAGTCTACTTAGAGCTATGTCATATTCGCGAATATTATTAGAAAAGAACCTGGGGGTATTGTGAGGATCAGAGATCACATGTTGGAATGTCTTATATTCTCTCTGTTCATTTGAGCTAATGTTCTGGCTTTGCTGCTGCAAGCTTCTATCGACCTACTGGGATCGTGTCTCTTTGCGCGGTTTGCGCATCTCTGGATCCAGAGGGCTAATTTATTTTAGTAGATTTGTGCTATCTCATAGAAAATATAAGGACACACACACACACACACACACAAAAGTCAATTGCTTTCTTACAGACTCACATTGGTGTAGTATAGACTCAATGAGTCACCTGGTTTTCAACAAATGACCAATGGTAATTCAATGAAAAAAGAGAGCCTTTGTCAACAGTGTTGGAAAAACTGAACATCCACATGCAAAACACAATGAAAAAAACATGAATCTAGAAACAGACGTTACACCTTAAACAAAAACTGGCTCAAAATGGATCATAGATCTAAATGTAAAATCTAGGCCAGGAGCAGTGGCTCATGCCTGTAATCCCAGCACTCTGGGAGGCCATGGCAGGAGGACAGCTTGAAGTCAGGAGTTTTAGACCAGCCTGGGCAACTAAGTGGGAACCGATCTCTACAAAAAATACAAAA